TAAACAAGCAAGTCAAAGATCTTTAGGCAGGTGATTTGAAATACAGCCTATACATTGAAGAGATAAGTTATCCTGAAAATAAAATTGAAAATTAGATTTTGGAATAGAAAAAACAATATTAATTAAATCAGTTCCATTTTGATGGTAAGCTCGTGTGCGTCCTAAGGTTATCATTTCAGCAACCACCTGGATAAAAAATCAAACATTTTGGGATGGGGTGTGGGGTAAATAAAGTCATTCAATACAATATATTTTTTGTACTTTTATCACAGCTAAAACTCCTGTAGGTAATTTAGTAGGAGGAAAATCAAAAGTGTTAACTGACAATGTTTATGTGGAATTCTGTCCACAAATTGAGTATTCAAGATGTCATTAATTTGTTCCACTGTGGCAAGTGCTCCAGATGGAACTACAATAAAATGTTCAGGTTGTTTTTCTTTGGTCACTAAATCAAATGATGGACTGAGCAAATTTGTAGGCAAAGAGGATGCCTAACAATTGCTGTAAATTGACCAATAAAATAATTTTGGGTAGGCTCAAATGAAGAAAAGCTGGGGTAAAATAAGAAGAATGCAACTGTATTTTTTCTGGGGCAACTTGCATTCCATAAAGACTTAAATCATGTTGTATTTCTGAAAGCCAATTAGATTGAGTCTTTGGTGTTCCAATTAGAATATCACCCATATAATCCAATGGGTGACGTTTGTGCTACGCAGCAAGAGTGGATATCAAATTTCCCCTTTGTTCCACCCTGCTCAAGTCGTAATTCTAAGCAGAGGAAAAAAAATTTCAAACGAACAGCTCAGCTTCCCTCTTCCCCCCCCCTCTCTCGTGCTTGTAAAGCAACACAGCCAGCCGAAAGAGAGAGGGGGGGGGGAAACTCATCACCAAAAAATAGGTTTCTCTCAGTCATATGCCTTTCCATAAAACTCTTCTCATCCATCCTTCATCCTTAGCTATCTCCTCCTCCTCCCTCACTCTCTCCATCTCCTTCATAAACCTCTTCTCATGCAAACACGTACTATTACTTTTCAATTACTTTTACAACAATAAATTCTACAGTTCATTATTTCTTTCACAGCCTGGGAGAGAGTGGGTGGGGGGTAGGGCTTGAGGGCTAACACACACACTTAGGTCTCAGCAAATTAACTCATTCATTTTCATTCTAACTGCTTGCATAAATAATTCCACATACAAATATTTCATTCCATACATTCTCCAGGCAAACCACACACTTTTAAATAAGGCCTTTTTATTTTGTTGTTATCAGAGAGGGTTAGACCNCAAGGTAAGCTTAACAGGAGAAATGAAACTTAAGTCAGGAAACGAAACTTAACAGAGGGAATGAGCTCATTGTATGGACAAAGAACAAAGAACTACAGGCATTTCATAGGAAACGAAACTTATGTTAGAGAGGAAACTTATAGCAGTGGAAAAGTGCCCAGGGACATATTCATAGGGTATTTTGCTGATAATTGCAACAACACACCTCTCAGCATCTCCCATAAAGCCTATGGTTTATCTCACTTCTATTTCATTATTATATATTTTCTGGTCAGCCAAACTGGGTTATAGCCAAAAATTAAAGTCAAATCAATTAAATTAAACTGACAAGAGGGAGAAAAAAGTAGGAAAAATAATTTATTGGGGTTTTTTTTTTTATGTTTGTGCATGCCTTTGAGTCAATGTAGACCAGTCTTTGCAGTTTTCTTGGCAAGATTGTACGGAAGCGGTTTGCCCTTGCCTCCTTCCCAGGGTTGAGATAGAGTGTCTGGTCCAAAGTCACCCAGACAGCTTTGTCTAAGACAGGACTGGAATTCATGGTCTCCTGGTGAGAAAACCCCCTACCCTGCAAATAAATAGATCACTAGCTGATAAAGCATTTTGTAGCCTTGGGATCCTGATATGTAAATAATCAACTTAAGCAACGTTACCTGTAAGAGCAGTGGTTCTCAACCTCTGGGTCGGGACCCCATTTGGGGTCGATCGACCATTTCACGGGTGTCACCAAGCAAGGCTGTCCGCCATTTTTTTTGTCCGCCATTTTTTTTGTCCGCCATTTTTTCCCCTTTTCCGGCAGGTGCCTTACCTCCCTTGGGCTGGGTCAGCTGGTGGTCGGCCTGCTCCATCTCTGCCGCTTGCCAGCTACGCCTCGGCCGGCGCAGGGGGTGGAACCATGCATGCGTGGCGCTCCCGGGCAGGGAAAGTCCTCTACTTACGACCGGTTGGGTAGTCCTCTACTTACGACTGGTTTAGTCCTCTACTTACAACCAGTTTAGTCCTCGACTTACGACCGGTTTAGTCCTCGACTTACGACCGGTTGGGGTCACGGAATTAAAAGGTTGAGAACCACTGTGTAAGAGGCTGGCAGCAGCCCTCAGCTTTCTCAATTAGCTGCCAGGAAGTGAACAGTCCAGAGTCCATCCCCAGTGGAATGGGCTCAGCAAGAAGTCCCTTACTAATCATGAATTTCTAACCATGAATGTTTGTTTGCTTGCAGACATTTTGTTACCAGATTTGCTAATATCTTTGAAGGGTTCTGGGACCTTACATCTTCATTGCTAACTAATCTGGTAGCAAAATGTCTGCAAGCAAACCACCAAGTTCAGAGAGCACCAAGGACTTCACAATTCAACTCTGAGCTATTTATATGTAGTCTTCTATAGATACCTTTATAACCTGAAAGGAGCATTTAGTTGCCATTGTTCTATGGCCTTCTGGAGTGAAGAGGTCCTTGCCTTCTCTGTCATGGTGCTTGTCCTCTGGAATAACATCTCTTCAGAGATCCATTTGTTCATCTCATGATGATATTCCAGAAGTCTTAGAAAACTTGGCTGTTCAACCCACATTTTAGGGTGCTTATGGATGCCTTATCAGTTATGATTCTGTCATGGTGGTGTGTTTGTCCAGATGCATGGAAATTTCTTTTTATTGTTTTTTTAGTTTTTTTAGGATTACCCCCCCCCCAGTAGGGAGGCCTCTACTTCTCATAAATAAATACAGAATTGTTACCACATTAGGTTTAAAACAATATTTAGCATTAGTTTGAACATAATTCATCACAGAATAAATGGAACTACAGTGCTTTTCATATAATACCAACCTTAGATGCATATTAAATCTGCATATGCTCTATGGATGATGAGGATGTGTTTCTTTCATTGTAAACATGATACCATTATTTGATTCTGCATGGAGTGTCAGTCCTTTTTTGCAACAAAATAATTGTTTTTGTTAAAAACAACAGAATTTGAAAGAAAAAAATATATATACTGGACAAGGAACATAAAGAAAAACAACCCAAAATTTAGAAGGATTGTATATATTCCTTCTCTCAATGAGAACTACAAAAATTAAAAATCTTTATTCAGTGTTTTTATCTGGAAATGTATTTGTTCAGTTGTCACACATTATAAAAAGTGTGTTAATATTTCATACAATTAGTGAGCCACTTTGAATAAAACTATCCTTAGTTTTTTAAAGCTTGTTGTGTTAATTTTTCAGACAAAGTTTTCCCACATTTTTAAATATCATGGGTCCAAAAACGTAATGTATGTATCTCGATTTCCTGGTGGTTTGCGATAACAAATTCAGTAGTTATCAACAAATTTAAGTCAATTTATTATGTTGCAGGAATGTCTTAGGAAAAGGGTCAATAAATCAACAACAGGATTTATTATCTGTTAGCAATCCTGAGGTTAGATCAATCATTTTAAAAAGAATTATCATTTTTAAAAGGTAGTCAGATTTATTATTTAAAAGATGATCAGATTTATCATTTTTGAAAAAGTTATCACTTTTAAAATGTGGACAGATTAATTATTTTTAAAAGGTGATTCCTGATTTCCCCATATGATAGTTGTGCTAGACCTCTGTTTAGATGTAAGCAATATTTAGCCTCAGCCAGACACAATGAACAATATTATATGAAACAGAATGAATGTGTTGATCTGGGTATTCAGGCTTACTCACAACACCCAGCACTATCTCTGTTCTTCCTCTAAAGCACATGAGATCAAATGCAAGGTCTGGATTCATGGGTTCAATCAAGACTAATTGAGTAAAATTCAGAGAAGCCCTAGATGATGTTGCTGATTTCAGAAATGAAACAAGATTGTAAACTGCCCAGAATTGCCTTATCAGGGAGATGGAAAGTCTTTCTTTCTTTCTTTCTTTCTTTCTTTCTTTCTCTTTCTTTCTTTCTTTCTTTCTTTCTTTCTTTCTTTCTTTCTTTCTTTCTTTTTCTTTCTTTCTTTCTTTCTTTCTTTCTTTCCTTCCTTCCTTCCTTCCTTCCTTCCTTCCTTCCTTCTTCTTTTCTTTCTTTCCTTTCTTTTCTTTCTTTCTTTCCTTCTTTCTTTTTCTTTCCTTCCTTCCTTCCTTCCTTCCTTCCTCCCTCCCACTTTTATTATTTTTTATAAATCATACCAATATAAATCTGAAGAGAAACTGCCTTGTGTGTTTAATTGTGTGCTTGTCTTCAGTTCTGAATTTAACTGGTGAACAATGGCAGGGAACTTCAGCCCTACCTGTCTTTCCTGCAATTGGTCTGTTAAGGTCTGTCCTTCCAGTCCAATCCCACTATAGAAGATTTGAATTCCAGAACATCTGGAGAATGCAGAGTTCACAACAGCTGTTCCAACTTATTTCTGATACTTTATGATAATTCCTCACACATGAGTACTGGTAGATAAAAAGCTACTAAAAAAATTAATCAAATGTGCTATGAATGTTTAAAAAGATAAAAATGGTCCCAGCATGTTACAAATTTGCTTCTGGTTCCTTCCTTAGGAATTAGCATCTTCCTCCACCCTGGAAAAGTGACTAAAGTCCAAAAATCCTCTGGGCAAAGGTGAGCATTGACACTATTAAATAAGACCTGGTTCTGAAATTTTGTTTTTCTTAATCAGAAATAACTGCCTTCAAAGATCAGAAAAGAAGTGAATAGATCCAAGCTAACTATAACTGAAAACTATATTTTAAAGGGCCACCATTTGTCTTGACAGGAAAGTGAAAGTGTAACTATTGTTTTCCTTTCAATCTCAATCCACATTCATTTCCATGTGGCCTGCATCAGAGGTGGTGCGTTGGGACTGCTCTTCATGGTAGGAGTCAGGTGGCCTGGAACAACATCTCACACAACATCCATAACTTGGTTGTGACTTGCTGCACCCCACCCACCCCACCCCATATTTGCTTTATGATTGATTCTCTGACACAGAAAGATACACACCCACTTCTTGTAGTTCCAACAAGGATTATTCACTAGCTCTCCCTATGTTTTTCATACAGAGTTTAAGAGTTTAGAGTTTTAAAGAGTTTGCCTTTAAACAGCAAGGCCAACAGGTTATTCCCATAACATACGAGAATTTACATAATAGCATTGCTAGTTAATTTGCTTATTCAGCTGTTGCAGATTTTCTTTCTGAAGTTTTTGCTTCACGCTCACAGGTTTTCACTTGAAAATACTGCCCCTCTATAATTAAATAGATTCATACACAACTTATTTTGCACAATGAATATTTCCTATCACGTAGGATGAAAATAGATCATTTGAAAAAAATCTAATGCATTAGTTATGGACAATCCCATGAACGGGATTCCTTCATCGGAATGTCCGAAGGATGTCTTAAAAGCATTTTAAGTTTATACACGCTCAAACGATTCTAATAAATTTGTACTCAATATAAACTTTACTGATTTAATTGGATCTTATTCCCAGATAAGTAGGAATGTAGTCTTCATTTGATAGCCTATTGACTTTCTACATGCAAAAGCAATTATACAGGTAGTCCTCAATTATACAATTGAGCCCCAAATTTTGGTTGCTAAGTGAAACATTTGTTAAGTGAATTTTGCCCCATTTTATGACTTTTCTTGCCACAGTTGTTAAGTAAATCACTGCAGTTGTTAAATTAGTAACACGGTTGTTAAGTGAGTCTGGCTCCCTCATTGACTTTTCTTGTCAGACCCCAGGACACTGCAACTGTCATAAATATGAGTCAATTGCCAAGTGTCTGAATTTTGGTCATGTGACTATGGAGATATTGCAATGGTCATAAGTGTGAAAAACGATCATAAGTCACTTTTTTCAGTGTCATTGTAACTTTGAATGGTCACTAAATGAACTGTTGTAAGTTGAGGACTACCTGTATAAGGAAAAAGAAGTCAGAATAGTCTAAATTCTTAACATAAGAGCACATGTAACCCAAATCCCTAATCAGTGCTTCAGTGTAGCTTCATGTGGCACTAAAGAACACAACAGAATTCTTGTCCTTAAAAAAATCAAATGCAAGACTATTGTGCTCTATTGCTGTTAAGGGGAATGAAAAAGAACTAAGGAGTTAAGCTGTTTTGTACAATCTCTTTCTGTCTTTATACCACAACAATGAATATTTCAGATTCTGCGGCTTCACCTCAAAAAGCAGCACAGCAAGGTAACACAAACCGAGTTATTAGCAACTGGTTTGGGAACAAATAGAACTGTTTATGTTTTTAAATTAACCATCCGCCAGTGCAATTACACAACATTCCTTTAATATTCATACAAAGATAGGCAGACCGGATAGTAGGCAGACTTTATATGCTGAGTGCCTGGTTTTGCTAAAATGAACACTTCCAAAAAGCAGACACCCATTTTGTTTCAGCATTTTCTTCCACAAGCATTTGGAGGGAAAAGCTATTTTAAACCATAGTTTGAGTTAGGTTGCTATGATAATAGCTTCACACCCCACTGGAATTCTAAATTTAGACATTCCTGAATTGGATGTAAATATTTGGATGTAAATCACTCTCTGGACAGATCAACATTTAAATGAATGAAACAGTCACATGAAACATTACTTTTGTATTCTGGGATGCCAGCAGTATTACAAATCTGCAGGTCCAATCTAAGTATAAGTGAGTTCAGTAATCTGTAGATTCTGCAGTAAACAGTAAATGAGTGAAACCAACGGCTGTGTTTCCTATAGTTTTATTGCACTGATGTCCATTTTTGTCGACTCTAAAAAATTACAGAGTGGCTTTTGATTTTTGCAGTCAGCTTCAGGAAAAAAAAAGTACAACATAAGGCCCAAAGCCTTGAGTCCAATACCCAGAACCCTTCCAAAAATGTAATTTTAATGTAACAAAGGGAGAAAAAGGTAAAGTACATTCATATGAATTGCATTTCCTTATTAAAATTAAAAATGGCCTTCTTCGTCTGTGGTCTGAGGAAGGTTGTGCACCCACTGCTTAGGGATCTCCTAAGTTATTCAAGATGCAAAGCCCTGAAAAGATAGCCAACCTCAGCAAGAAACCAGAGGAATGTTATTAACATTTGGTCAAGCCTATTGCTGGCAGCTATTGCAGGTATGTAAAACTGCACATCTTCCATCTTGCTTCATGATAAGTAAATTCTTAAAGTATTTTTTTCTTTTCATCATTTCAAAGGCGGGAAACAGAAACGGAATAAAAAAGCAGAAATGCAAGAAGAAAGTGAAGATAAAAGTTCTTTAGGGGAGTTAACAGAAAGTCCACAACAAGGTAAAATACGGAATAACAGAGTTGAAAGGGACCTTGGAGATCTTCTAACCCAACCCCCTGCTCAGGCAGGAGACCCTATACCAGGGGTAGGCAACCTTGGCTCTTTTATGACTCGTGGACTTCAACTCCCAGAATTCCTGAGCCAGCCATGCTGGGTCAGGAATTCTGGGAGTTGAAGTCCACGAGTCATAAAAGAGCCAAGGTTGCCTACCCCTGGCCTATACTATTCCGGACAAATAGCTGTCCTTTTAAAAACCTCCAGTGATAAAATAAACTGGTTCTTATGTTTATATTACCAGGATTGAGGCCTCAGAGGCCTAGTGGGCATTCTTAGCTCACAGATTGTGGAGAAGATTTCGGGTATGTGTGTGGGGGGAGGTACAAGGAAATAGATTCATTCAAACTCATGCTCATCTCTTTTTCTGCTTTTCCAAGAGGGCAGAACCAGGGGAAAGAAAAGTGACATAAACTTCCTTCCTCATGATATCAAATCAATAAATGGCTCCCTGCAGATGGAACACAGCAATTTTTCAGTAGTGTCATTTAGAGTCTAAGTTTAGGTCTAAGTTAATATCTAAGTCTGAGCCTCCTCCATCTCAACATCAAAGGGTGTGAGAATTAAGACTTAAAAGATAGAAAAAGCAACAGTGGATTCTTCCCTTTTGAGCAATATATTGTGGGTTGCTGGTTTCCTGCTGTGACTAAGCACAGAAAAAACATTCTGTACCTCTTCAGGCAGTTGACTGTGTAGAAAAGTGGGTGCCCGTCATTTCAGCTCAGGGAATGTGTGTGTGTGTGTGTGTGTGTGTGTGTGTGTGTGTGTGCGCATGTGTGCAGATACAGGAAGTCCTCCACTTATGTTCCCAATCAAGCCCAGCATTTCTGCTGCTAAGCAAGGCAGTTGTTAAGTGAATTGTGCCTCGTTTTATGATCTTTTTGCCAGGGTTGTTAAATGAATCATTATAGTTGTTAAGGGAATCTGGCTTCCCTCATTGACTTTACTTGTTGGAAGCTAGCTGGGAAGGTTACAAATGGTGATCATATGACCCCAGGACTGTCATAAATACATGCCAGTTGCCAAGTGAAGTGCCTGAATTTTGATCATGTGACCACGGGGATGCTGCAGTAGTTGTAAGTGTGAAAAACGCCATAGGTCACTTTTTTCAGTGCTGTTGTAACTTTGAACAGTCACTAAACGAATGGCTGTAAGTCAAGGACTATCTGTGTAACGAGCATATTCACACACACGTACATATACCATTTCTGAAATGGGCAGAAAGGTCTAATATACCCGCATAAGCTCATCACTGTATGGGAACCGTCTCAAATATGCTTGCAAGCAGTCATTGAAAAAGAGTGCTAGAATTCCCATCTCTTCCTGCAAGACCCAGACTCCTATTCCCTCTTTCCCATCCCAGAATCTGGCCCTTGGTAGCTCTTCAGAAGGATAAATCTTTTTTTTTTTTTTTTGCAAGTCCAGATGGCTGCTGCCCTCATAAAATCATTTTTCTTTGTTTTCAAATCAGCCTTTTTCCTAGAAAGCAATTCCACAAATAGGCTGCAGTCTTCTGAAAACAGGCCAGATTTTTTTTCCCCTTGTCATCACGTTTTGAAGATTCGTGAAAGCTGAAGAGTAAAATAACAACAGTGAAGGATGACTGGAATAATACAGCTTCCTTCCTTCCTATGAAAATCTTTCTGTTACTTCTCAAATTCTCCTTGTTTGAAAAATCCCCATGTTTTAATCCCAGCATGAGCTGGAGCAATTTTGAATAGACATGCATTAATTTGTCAATTTTGTATATTTTTGTCATTTTAGATCTGTCCAGTGAAATTATTCCATACTCTGAAACAGGTATGAGGCTCACATCAAAAGCTCTGCTTTTTGTTATAGAATCTGAGGGCTTCTAAGTAAGCCCAAAGAGTCGGTGGTGTAGTGGTTAAGACATCAGGCCATAAGTTCTAGTCCTGACTTGGGCATGGAGATCTTGGGCCACTCACTTTCTCTCAGCCCTAAGAAGGAGGCAATGACAGACCACTTCTGAAAAACTTTGCCAAGAAAACTGCAGTAACCCTGAAAAGCAGACATGATTGAATGGAAGAAAAAAAAACACAGCCCAATCCTTTCCTCTCTGCCACTTTGGCCTTGCCCATTTTCATGCATCTCCCATCTCCTCCTGATCTATTTGGCATGTTGAGAGACCAAGAGAACAAATGAAGTCATTTGGAAGTAAATTCTCTTGGCTTCCCCGATTTCCTGCTCCCTCTGCCCTGTGCAGTAAGCAAGTAGCAAAACAAGCTGGAAGAGCAGTACAGCCAGGAAACTCAAAGGTTCAGCACTGGATCTCCTGCAGGGGTGCAGCTCTGGAAAGGTGCTCAGTGCAACTTTGCCCCAACCTTCTAGAAGTACTGGACTACAATTATTCATTAAATTAAGGTCATTAATTTTGTTTCAGTTAAGCTTTTTTATATATATATTTTAAAGTCTGTCATTGCTCCCTGTAGTGCAGTTTTTAGGGTATTGTAAGGTTAGTTGTTTGGTTGCAGACGTTTCATTGTCAGACTAGATAACATCATCAGTGTTAATGAGGGTGGGTTTTGCTGTCTATTTATATACAGTAGATTGCCCTGCCAGTGTTGGTTGGTGTGTGATTTTCTCCTTGGCAGTTCCCTGATTAGTTTTTGTTTTCTGCTTTATTATTGGTCTGGTGTTAATCCGCCAGTGGCAACTGCAACAAAGGTTTTGTTTTTTGCATCTTTTAAAAGATAATATAATTGTTTGAGTCAATGAATTAGAATCACAATAGAGTGATAAACAAGAAAAGTGATGTAAAAGTGAAAAGTGATATAAGTGATAATTTCACGACTATCAGATCTTTGTGGTTGAAAAAAAACTTTCTACTGTATATAATCCACACATTCTTGGCACACACACACACACACACACACACACACACACACACTAAACAAATCTGGCTTGTGGGTTCTAAACAGTTTGTTTTTTAAGAAAAAGCCTAGATTATTGAACTAGTCATACATTTAAAACTAAAGGTTCTGAGCTTAAGAAAGTTTGTGTTTCAGAGCTAAAGAAAATTTATGACAATCCACCACAAGAATTTTGGCTAGCCTAAGGTTTTTGTTTAATGTTATAATAATATTTAGAATTATTTCATTACAGTGAATATTAAATAATATGTTTTATTTAAGAAAACAATAAATAGAACACCACTGAATATCACAAGTCCAATATGATCTCTACCAATAATAGGCATCCATGTTGATCTGTTGCAGACCATAGTAATTTCTCCAGATCTTTCTTTATTACTTATTTATACAAAAAAAATTCATATGGACTTACTTCAAATAGCTCAAGGCAGCTGGGAGAACTACCGTTTTGTGCTCCTCAGTTCTATTGTAACAAACATGATATGCATAAATGAGTCCTTTTTTGACCAAATAAATGCCTTTTTAAAATGCAAACTTGTTATTTATCAGAAAATACAAGGACAGAAGGAACACCTACAGTTGGTAAATATAACCGTTTAAAATTCTATATGTTTTCTTTTGCACGATATGTACGTTTCATTTGTATCATATGTTAGTTGTTTGTCTAAGATATGAAAAACCTAAGCCCCCTTGGCTGGTGGTTTCTCATCAGAAGGGACATCATTTTTGAAAAAACAAAAATATTGTATGTATCTCAAATACTGGCTCTTTTGAAGGAACCGTTGATGGGACAAATTCTCTGATTTACCTTCTCTGTGCAGGGATAGGAAATCTAGAAGTTTGTTCTTAATGCTGTTCATCCAGTCAGTCAGGGGAGCACTATGCATCCTCCTGATGTATAGGAAGAGAAAGAGCCTGTACAGTAATTGATAGATGCCACTAGAAGGGTTCAGTTGCTGCCTTCACTTCACTGGCATCTGAAATTCCTAACAATAGTTCTTCTCCTTGTATTAGAAAGTCCAGGGAACTTTATCGAGCCTATTTGATAAAGGCAGTATCTTTAATATAATGCTTGAGGGTAAACAGATTTTTGTCAGCTTCAGTGCCTTAACTGAGGGTTTTTTGGGGGTGCCAAACCATACATTTTAATTCAAATTTCATTTCCCACAGTATGTGAAGATGGTATTTGTCACACAATCCAACACCCAAGATGGTGGATTCCAAGGATTCGGAAAGATGGTAAGAATATAACTGATCACAAACTTAAATCACAAATTCTTCTCTCTGTGAGGCAAGGCATAAGCCCTGATGTTTAGATTTCTATCCTAGACTGTCATAACTAAATAAAAAAATAACATCAATATCTTGTATTTTCCCTATACACAACATTAACAAAGATAAGGTGCAAATCATATCCATGCAAAGCTTTCAGCAGTTCTATTTGTTTTATTAATAAAATTTTATACAGCTGCCCATCTCACTAAAAACAACTCTGGGCAGCACACAGGAATGAGATAAAAAGAACAATGTTAAAAATCACAAATGTAAAAATCCATATCAATAAATATCACAGAAAACCAAAGGTACAAATCCTAGGCAATCAAAGGAATAAAAATGGCTACCTCAACAATAGAAACCAAATCCGATGAAATGATAATGATAATGAATAATGAAAATAATAATGAAAACAATGATAATAATGATGTTGATAATGATAATAATAATGATAATGATGATGATGATGATGATGATGATGATGATGATGATGATGATGATGATGATAATAATAATAATAATAATAATAATAATGATGATGTTGGAAGGGACATTGGAGGTCTTTTAGTCCAATCTCCTGCTCAGGCAGGAAACCCTATACCAGTGATGGCGAACCTTTTAGAGACCGAGTGCCCAAACTGCAAACCAAAACCCACTTATGCATCATCAGGTGCTGGGTGGGTGTGGCCCATTGGCTGGGCGTGGCCCATTGGCTGGGTGTGGCTGCGGTGGTAATGGCAGACTGGTTGGGAGTAAAAAGTTCAATCAATCAATTCCAGCTTTGCAAGATTTTTTTTCCCGCGAGAAGTTGAAATTGATTGATTGATTGATCCTTCTTTTTTTTTTGCACACGGCGGTGGAGGCCTAAAGCAAAAAGGTTTTATAAAACCCAGCTGAATGCCTAGGACTGGGGCGACGGCGCTCGTGCCTACAGAGAGGGCTTTGAGTGCCGCCTCTGGCACCCGTGCCATAGGTTCGCCACCACTGCCCTATACCATTTCAGACAAATGACTGTCCAGTCTCTTCTTAAAAACTTCCAGTATTGGAGCATTCACAACTTCTGGACGCAGGTTGTTCCAATGATGAATTGTTCTAACTGTCAGGAAATTTCTTCTTAGTTCTATGTTGTTTCTCTCTGAGTAGTTTCCATCCATTGCTTCTCGTCCTGCCTTCAGGTGCTCCGGGGAATAGTTTGACTCCCTCTTCTTTGTGGCAACCCCTGAGATATTGAAACACTGCTATCATGTCACCCCTCGTCCTTCTCTTCATTAAACTAGACATACCCAATTCCAGCAACCGTTCTTTATGTGTTTTATCCTCCAGTCCCCTAATCATCTTTGTTGCTCTTCTCTGCACTCTTTCCAGAGTCTCAACATCTTTTTTATATCGTGGTGAACATAAACAAGTCTTCAGGAATGTTCAGAATATCAAAAGGGATGGGGCCAGTGGTGGGATTCAGCCGGTTTGCACCAGTTCAACAGAACCGGTAGCTAATTTTTTGTTGCCCAGGCTCAGAATGGACTTCTGGAAGCAGCATCCACCCAAAGAACCAGTTGTTCACATATTTGAATTCCATCACTGGATGAGGCCAATCTAATTGGGAGGGGGGAATGGAAAGGATGTTCCATAAGACAGACACCACAGCAGAGAAGGCACATTCCTGGTGACCTATCAAATATTGGTCTCTCACCAGTGGAACCCACAACTCGCCCACTCTGCCAGATTTAATGGAGCAGTCTGATATAACCAGGCAGTCCCTCAAACTGATCAGCAATTATCATATTTTTAATATGTTTACAGCTCAGGCTACCTACTAGTGTGTAAACAGAATATACTTCCTTCTCCCACAATGTGTAATCTTGAGAACTTCACTCAAGTTCTCTGCTTAATGTACATGGGGAAGTATTTTCCTTATTGACTCTGGGTGAAGTTAGTTAACCTACTTAACTGCTGTTTAAATTATAAAAATATTCATGTTATGCATATATATGTACGTGTATGAGTGTGTGTGTATATGTATGTACGTGTATGCATATGTATATACACGCAAACGCACACACTGTATGTTCGCATACAACTTCCAATATTAAACCTTTATTTTCATGGAAATATATGAAATTACAGCCATTAAATTAGAGCCTTGAATATTTTCTTATTTTTTTCAGATGAATTCTTCCATTTTGTCATTATTTGTTTTGCTGTTGGAATGTTATTAGTCTGCTATTATAAATATAATGGTAAGTGAATATTACAATATATTGATTTCACATGGAAAAAGAGAGAGCAAAATATAATCTCATTCTTTCTTTCTGTAGACTGGACAGTTTCCACTGGAATTGGCTTGATGACCTTCGCAGCCCTAGAAACAACAGGAATATATTTTGGCCTTGGTGAGTGTTTCATCTGTATTGATTTATGCAGTAGTAAATCAAGCTGCCTTATATTCTTAATTTAAGATATCACTATGACAGAAACAGCAATTCTTCAATATCTCAAACTGTAATGGTCTGATAAGTTAATTACCTACTTGGTCGCTTTTCTGACAGCGGATTCTTGTTTCTTTTCTACTAGTGCACCGCATTCGAAGTATCCTGGAATCTTTCATCCCCCTTATTCAAAGAGTCAGAATGCCTGGTAATTCTATTCTTTTATTGTTCCTTTTTGAAACCCTATGCAACTTTCAAGGTCATACTGAGAAAAAGGTTTCCACTGACAGGGATTCCCATTTTGTATAAACCAAATATGACTTGTTTGGATTGGATATACCTCATTTGTAAAGAAGGCCATTCTTTATAAACTGCTTTGTAAACCATGCTTTATGCTTAGCTGCTTGTGCAAATCATAGAACATAGATTAATAGGGTTGGAAGGGACCTTGGAGGTCTTCTAATCCAGGGGTCCCTAACTCCAGGTCCACGGACCAGGACCGGTCCACAGACTGTTGGAAACCGGGTTGTGTAAGCGGTGGATGAGCAGTGAAGCTTTATTTGCACATGCATGGGATTAGGTTGTATGCATGAAACCATCCCCTCTCCCTTGCCCGCCACCACTGCCTCCACTGCTGCTAGTCTGTGGAGCCAGAAAGGAGGGGGACCTCTGTTCCTAGTCCACCCCCCTGCTCAAACCCTATATATCATTCCAGACAAATGGTTGTCCAGTCTCTTCTTGAAAGCCTCCAGTGATGGAGCACCCACAATTTCTGAAGACCAGCCATTCCACTGATTCATTGTTCTCCCTGTCAAGAAATTTCTCCTAAGTTGGATCTCTCTTTAATGACCTTCCACCCATTACTTCTTGCCCTGCCCTCTATGCTTTGGAAAATAGATCCACCCCTTATCGTCTGTGACAATCCCTCAAGAACTGGGAGACTGTTATCATGTCCCTCATAATCCTCTTCGATATGCTAGAGACATACCTAACTCCCTCAACGTTTGTCATAGGATTTAGTTTCCAGACCCTTTACTAGCTTTGATGCTCTTCTCTGCCCTCTTTTCAAGGACTGAGCTCTTTTTATATCATTGTGACCAGAACTGGATCCAACAAGGTTTATTCCATAATCTCTGGCTACACAAATCTCAGTTTAGAGCAGGGGTAGTCAACCTTGGCTCTTTTATGACTCCTGGACTTCAACTCCCAGAATTCCTGAGCCAGGAATTCTGGGAGAATCACAAACCCCATCTAAATCAAATGATTATTAAATGTATATTTAAATGTTCATCTGCAAGGATATATTAATAAGTAATTAAAAACTAATCATTTTCTTTGTTTTTGTTTCATAGGGTTCAAAAAGCTTAACTAAGCCCGAAATCTCAAGAGCACTGAAATTATCTTGTTTGGTTTCATGATGGCAGGAACAAATGTAACAATGTGAAAACAATATAAATGTCTGGACTAAAGAATTGAGGTCCTAGGAGTGGAGCTGGTAAGATGGGATGAAGAGCTTGGGCCATCCAAACACAGCACAGATGTCATCAACAGCTCCACAACAGCCCGAAGGGAAATGGCTTTCAAGCTGTCCTTTACAAGGAAAGGGCTGGAGAAATCAACTCAGGATTTAAACCTTGGGACATACATATGATATAGCTAGAATTTCAGGCTCTTTAGAAGCTGTTTTTATCATTATTAGAGATGCTGGTACTGCAATAAAGTTACTTATCTATCCAAGGCTTCTCCTTGAATTTTAGGACTTTGTGTCTGTGTTACCAGAGAGGGATTTATTGTGCCGCAGCTCTTTCAGAGTTCCAATGTCTATTCTCTTCCCTTGATGAGGCTCGGAACAATGCGATACTGCCAAAGAGTGGTAACATTTATCTAATAACAATGACAATTCTTTATTAGCATTAGCCTTAGTATAGGTCAGGGGTCTGCAACCTTGACAACTTTAAGACTTGTGGACTTCAGCTCCCAGAATTCCTCAGCCAGCATAGCTGGCCCCTGGTATAGATAGTCCTTTCTTAAGAACTCCCCTGTTTAGCAACCATTCAAATTATGTCAGTGTTGGAAAAAAATATCAAATGAAAGTAACAGGAAGTCAAAAGTTGTGAACATGTGAGAACCCATCTGGTTTTCATTTGATGACAATAACCGAGGATTGTTAAATGAATCGTGCAGCTGTTAAGCAAATCTGGCTTTCCCCCATTGATTTTGTTTGTCGGAAGCCAGCTGGGAAGATCGCAAAGAGCAATCAGATGGCCCCAGGATGCTGCAACTGTCGGTTGCCAAGCGCCTGATGTTTGATTGTGGGACTGGGAGGATGCTGCAGTGGTTGAAAAGTGGCCAGTGGTGGGATTCAAATACCTGAACAAACGGTTCTATTATGTGATGTAGGCCTGGGCCTCTGGTGCCTAGAACGGACTTCTGGAAGTGGTATCATGCACCCTCGGTGGGCCGTTCTAGGCCTGGGAGGCCTCCTTCAGGTCTCCGATGCCTAGAACAGACTTCCGGAAGTGGCATCAATGCACTTCCAGTAGACCATTCTAGGCCTGGGAGGCCTCCTCCAGACCTTCGATGCCTAGAACAGACTTCCGGAAGTGGTGTCCATGCACTTTCGGTGCACTTCTGGACTTCCAGAAGCAAGCCGGTTCTCCGAATTCAGGTAAATTTAGCTGCCCGTTCTCCCGAACTGGTGTGAACCGGCTGAATCCCATCACTGGGATTGGTAATAAATCACGTTTTTTTCAATGTGCCATTGTAACTTCTAATGGTTGCTAAACCGAATCGTTGTAAGTCAACAACTATCTGCACCTTTCTTTTACTGCACTTGTGTCCAACATGAAAAGCACTTGAAGGAGAAACTAAGGATGAAATTATTGAGCTTATTATTCCTTTTGTGGCAATCCATACTTTTAATCAAACTTTGCCTAATAATAAGTCCTTTTAAGTTTTTATCTTTCTTTGTGTTTCCATACCCCATAAGAATCTATGAAGTAGATTGGCTGTGAACCAGCCCCCTCCAAAATTGCCATTCTACTATTAGGGGATTTCACCCACTCCGCTATCTGTGATAAACATCTTGTTTTATGGTACAGTTTTAAATTTGGAATTTATATATGAGCTCTCTCTTTGGTTTCGTGTAGAGTTTTAACTCTAAACCTTTTTCCAATTCCATATGGATTTATTGATGTTTCTCGCCATCCTTGTGAGATTCTCTCTGAACTTCTGATTGGTGTCATTTGAAAAAAATAAGTAATTGATGTTGAATAATACATTCATTTTAATAATCGCAATTGATTCTTACCAAGATAACTCCACTTTTCAAGGTCTTTTTATTGCTTGCCTCTCTTTAATTTTGGTTTCTACATCTGCTTTTTTATTTTTTATTTTTTTTATCCTGTCTTTATAATTTTATATTCAATGTAGCAAACATACCTTATACTCCCTCCGCCTTCTATTTTCTCCACAACAACAACCCTGAGAGGTGGATTGGGCTGAGAGACAGTGACTGGCCCAAAGTCACCCAGCTGGCTTTCAGGTCTAGGGCAGGATTAGAACTCACAGTCTCTTTATTCCTAGCCTGGTGCCTTAACCCATAGACCAAACAACTTTTAGTTCTTAAATTTAATTCCCTTTGCTGAGAGTCTGACATTTCCAAAACATCTTCTATTTCATAATTTTTAAATTGTTGAGTTTCCTGGTCTCTTTTCAGACTCTCATATGTTTCTTTCAATTTTGATATGTCTTGAGTGTTGATTGACACTTTTTTAATGTAAGTCCTCTTATTTCGGTTTTCTTCCAATTCTGATTCTTTAAATACCCTAGATTGTCCAGATCCTTTTGAGTCTCCATCTTTCTTCCTATATTCAGGAGACATTTTATTTTTTTATCTTTAAAGGATGAGAAAATGGTCTCCATATAAGTTATAATCTTCTATGTATACATTTACTGAGAAATCACAGACGTCCCCCCCCCCACTTTTTTAAACAAAAAAGAGAACAATTTTTCAAATGCTAATCTTGTAAATATAATATTGTCTTTGGCTCCCTCTTGTGGCTTCTGTAACTCCTGCAGCAATTATACAGTGATCTGAAATATTTCAATAGAATGACAATCTTGCAAATAAAGGTGAATATACATGTCCCAGGATAATGTTGCAGGATCCAATCTGGGTTGGCTAGAGAGAAGTTCCCTGAAGATGGGCTCCAGGCATGAGTCCAAAAGCTCAGAAGAAACCACCTTTGTTTGCGGTGACCGACTGAGATTGGATCCTGCAGTATGACAATCTGCTCACTCTTCATAAGCATCAATATAATCAGTGCAGATTCCTTTAACCGCCATTCATTCTATGAAAATGCTTTACAATCTGTATCTAGCTTTTAATTCTTGTTGTTATTTAATCCATGTAAAAGATATACATTATGCATAAATTAGAATTCAATCACAGGAAAGAAAAGTTTACTTATCACCACAATTTTCTCTTATGGATGTTTATAGAAGTTTTAAAGTTCTCTTGAAGTCCCCTTCTGTTTATCTAGCTTCCCCCACAATTGTAAATTCAACTAGAGAGGTGCAGTTTTCACTTTAAGATAAATTCCTAAGATAAAAATTTTCTGAAGCTTTTGAAGCTGTCCCATCTCATGCCAGGAGGACTATAAATCCAATTCAGTGGGGGAAGAAAATGAATGCAGTAACACTTCAGAGAACACATTTATTATGAGTTTCTTTAGAACAGTGGTTCTCAACCTTTTTAATGCCGCGACCCCAACCGGTCGTAAGTCGAGGACTAAACCGGTCGTAAGTCGAGGACTAAACCGGTCGTAAGTCGAGGGCTTTCCCTGCCTGGGAGCGCTGCGCATGCATGGTTCCGCCCCCTGTGCTGGCCGAGGCATAGCTGGCAAGCGGCAGAGACGGAGCAGGCCAACCACCAGCTGGCCCAGCCCAAGGGAGGTAAGGCACCCGCCGGAAAAGGGGAAAAAATGGCGGGGAAAAAATGGTGGACAAAAAAAATGGTGGACAGCCTTGCTTGGTGACCCCCGTGAAATGGTCGATCGACCCCAAATGGGGTCCCGACCCACAGGTTGAGAACCACTGCTTTAGAACAATTAAGTAGACTCTTAGAGCATTTGAAAGAAATGCTTTGTAATTCACAAGGACCTTCACAAGCATTACCGCAGCTTGTAACAGTATGAAGCTGCTTGTGCCTCTCATAGGCTGCCTGCCTCTGTGTGTGCATGCACAACCACTTCATTTCCCTATCCAGAGGCAATGTTGTCTGGTGGAAAACCTTTGAAGAAGTTGGACAAGCTGTCCAGAACAAATGGCTCCTTTAGGACTTCCGGTTTTGCACGGTAGTGACCGGTCACAGATTTGTGGATTCTCCGCAACCCCGCGGCTAATTTTGCCCTGCCTGGGGACCCTAAATGGGTCTAAGTCGCCCCAGAGAGGTGATAAAGAAAGGTGCTCCAGTGATTCTGGAATGGTGGCGGCCATTCTGTTCGACTTGGGGAAAGCCTTCTAACCCGACAGGAGAAAGGCTGGCCATATTCCATTGACCAGCCCAAACTACTAGCAACTGAAGCCCAAAAGCACTAACCAGCACAACTGTGAACAGCGTGCTTGAAACTGGATGAGGAATTCGATCTTCTCTTTTCTATTCAACATTTAATTTCCTGGAAAAGATTCCCAAGAAGCAAAATACCTCTGAAAGGGAAGGACGGGGATTTTTACCCTTATGCTAACGGAAGTGGCAAATTAATCTTTTTATGGAGGATCAAAACATATGGAAGTGAAATAAATATAAAACCTGAAATTTAAAACTTAAATCTGGATAAATCTAAAATTGTTTGAATGGTTAAGACTCTCATTTTAAAGATAATCATTTATTCTGGAAATTGAAAAACAAATAGTTGCTGACACCTAATGGTGGATGAAGACTATGACAGCTATGACTTTAATATAAGACTTGGCAAAACCTGGAAAAAGCTAATCTGTGTTTGTGATCTTTAAAATTTTAACAACAAAGAACAGCCTTGACAAAAAAAGACAATAATCTGGGCTGTAGACAAAGAGAGAATTATAAATTTCAGGGGGAAAAAATCTTTTTTGAACTATTTGGATTACAAATATCTATTTAATTGGGACTCTAAAATTATTTGCAGAGAAAAGAAAGGAAGAGAAAAACTCAAATTCTTGGCCATCATGGATCAGAGACATATAGAAAGAACATATCAAGAAAACATAAATACTTCACAGGAGGAGATATATAGTATACTGCAACTAATTCAAACAACAATGACTTTAAACCATAAAGAAATCCAAAATAACTTTGAAAGTATAAATCAATCTATTTCTAAGTTAACTCTACAACAAAAAAAAATTCCCAGAAAACAACAGAGAAGGAGCAAATAAAACAGATAAATGGATATAGAATTGAGAATAGAGACTTAAAGATGGACCGACCCCTGTGGTACCCCACAAGTGAGGCGCCTCGAGGTTGACCTCTGCCCCCCTGCCAACACAAATTGCGTCCGGTCCGAGAGGTAGGAGAACCACCGTAAAACGGTGCCCCCAAACCCCAACCCCCCTAACCGGTGCAACAAGATACCATGGTTGATGGTATCAAAAGCCGCTGAAAGGTCTAACAGGACCAGGATAGAGGAACAGCCTCTATCCCGAGCCCTCCAGAGATCATCAACCAACGCGACCAATGCCGTTTCCGTGCTGTGC